GAACCAAATTATAACAAAATGATAAACGTTATTCTTTGTGTTAATATGCAATTTTGTCTTGAATTTAAAATGTCTGTAAAAAATAACAGTATTTATATATTTTTTAGATTTATAGTTACGGAAAAAACTGATTAATTGGAATCTTGTTTTAAAATTTCAATCCTTAGTTATAAAAGTTAAAAATCTTATAAATTTTTAACTATAAATTCATTTTCAATTTTCAAAACCAAAATCGATTTTTTCAAAAACTGGTTTTGCTCAAAAATTCCTGTTTTCGCTTAATTTTTTGTTGGTTTTTCAAGTTGCTTTTGAAAACTATTGGGAGTTCTAAATTTTGACCCCCCGAATGCACCACCTAAATTCACTTTCCTACCGGAAAAGTTGCTGTTGAAGATAATTGAAGCACTTTTACAACAAGAAACAGTGATGACAGACACACAAAAAATAAATAAATATAAAAACACACATTATAGTAAATCAATAGCTCCGCTGAGAATCTAAAATAAATTAAAAATTTAAAAATTTAAATAAAAAACACATAACGTTTTAAAATCAATACATTCATCACTCCGCCCAAAATCTAAATTTAAAAACTGTTCGGTTTGAAGTTTTGAACCCTGTATAAATTGTGATTAAGTGTCCGTTTGCCTTGTAAAATAAGATACATAATAAGATCAAAAATAAAAACAAAATAGTGGGCCAGTGGGTATTACCCTGCTGACAGCAGGTGTCAAAAAAGTCACTGTAATAGATGTGTTAAATTCGAATTCAATTGTATATTATTATTTATCATAGTATAGGTATATATGTTACGGGCAAACCTCAGAGATGCCCCGGCAAAAGGCGAACTGCCCACAATCCTTGGGCAAAATGTCATACTTCGACTTAAATATAGTAAATAAAAAATTATTCATTCATTTTTAAAATTGAATACTGTATAGTATAGTTGTTATTTTTGATGATTATTGTACAAAAAGTAAATTTAAAAAAAAATGTACTTATTTCAATATTAATAATTGTGGATTGGTTTAATTTTTGCCGAAAACATTGTATTTATTATATTCACTAATGTTTAATTTTTTTTTTTTAATTAATCAACATCAAAACATTTTTGCCATTAGTTTTTGTAGTTACATTGATTGCAACTATATTTTTCTTATGTGTATTCTTAAATACAGTGGACAGCGCTTATAAGACTCACATTGGGTCCAGCACAAAGAGATTCTTATAACCGAACGAATCTTATAGGCGAAGTGGGAAAAAAAATGTAATTACATATTATTTATTTATTTTATTTTACTACATAATTTTCTTTGATTTTAATACTTTAATTTATATGAAAATGATTACATACATTAATAAAAAAGTATAAAATATGTATAATGTACCTATTTATTATTTATGAAAAATAATTGTAATTTTAGTTTGTTTTGAGTTATAAACTAATATCCCGGAAGTATATTGAAAAATATGAAATGCGATAAAATTTGTTGTACATACACACATAATAAAGCAAAGAAACCATTTTATTTCAAAATTTTAACCAAACATTTTTATTTTTTACCATTTTTTTTACGAAATTTGCGTATTATAACCGAAGTGTTGAGTCTTATAACCGAATTTTGTATAATGGTTTTGGATAAGTTCGGACCATTTTAGAAGATTTTGAGTTTAATAAGCGACTGAACCTTATATCAGTGATCCTTATAAGCGACGTCCACTGTATAATAATTTAAATTAAATTAAACAAATCAGAATTTCCTAAAAAAGTTAAAATTCGGTAGGCGGTGTTTGCGTTCGGTGCGAGTCGCTGCATTAGGAATGTTTAGAATGTATAGTTCTTCTGTGTACTGAAGACAGTTTGTGAAGATATGCCAATATGGTGTTGTCATTATAAAAATGTAATAGTGTATATTTATATTTTATATCATGTTATATCATTGTTATTAACTTTTGGGTCAATAGGTAGGTACCACCTTACCGTATGACGGTGTGAATAGGTTCAAAATATAAATAAGTAATAGCTTAAATGCTTAAAATTAATCTCAAGATTTTTAAATGTTATATAAAATGTATTATAGGTACCTAAATAAATTTTTAGCATCTTAGAATAAAAAATAAATAACATCGTTATAATAATCTATTATTTGTTTCGGTAAATATCTAATTTCGTAAAAATTTGAACTAAAATGTTTATTTTAAAAAACTTTATTTATATAAGATTTTTTAGATTTTTTAGATTTTTGGATTACAACCTTATCATATTAACTAGGTACCTACTTGTTAAAAATCTTATTTCAAAGTTCAACCCTTGGTTATAATTGAACATTTTACACATTTTTAACTGTATGAAATAATTTATTTTATTACTAGTAATTAGAAATGATAAAATAAGTTATATTAATTTTTTTCTCGGAAAAATTGCATTTGACAATGTCATTGTGTGTGTGACATATAATAATATACTTTATAAGTTTTAAGTATCCACAAACAATATTTTTTAACTATAACAAAAGACCTAATTAAAATCTTTTTGTTTTTAGTTTGAATATCTAACTTCATCTAAATTTAACTTAAAATATTTATAACTGTGTCAATTTTTAATTTTAGATTTTTTGGTTAAAGTTCTATACTTTCTACTTATGAAAATCTTATTTTAAATTTTCAATCCTGATCGCCTTGGCTATAAAAATGGAACATTATATACATTTTCAACAACAAAATAATTTGCAGATTCTTGTGATATTGACTAACTTTAAATACTGATGTATAGAGAATGATAAAGTAAACATTTGTTGAAAATTTCAAGCATCTACGGTTATTCATTTTTAAATTACCGCAAAATATGAAAAATTGTAAAATTACTGGTGAATATTCACAGTTAAAATCCTCCTAAAGTACCAATAAAATTTGCTTTCTACCAGAAAAAATGCTGATGTATGAAAATGAAGCATATTTGTTTCACCAAAAGGTGAAAAAAAAGGAATAAATATAAGCACATCATTTTAAATTAATCATTTATCATCGCTCAGCTCAATCTCTGAAATAGTCTAAATTCCAAAAAGGTATCCATAAATTAACAATCATTTTGATGATGTTGACTAAATATATATAAAAACATTTATAAAACTGTATCCAAGTATAATAGCTACTCTATTTTCTGTAACCGCAGCTCTATTTAGTATAATATACAAAACAAAAAATTATTCGTTTTTCATGAGCCCCTATTTAAAACTCAAAATTTAAATAATTTCTCTTGAGGTGCACACACACACACACACACACACACACACACACACAAACGAAAATCTTGCCATTTAATAGATTAACAGTAACGAATCGTAAGAATCCAACAGCAAGAAGTCGACGGGAATTTTCCGTAAAGTAGTATACAGAAAACGGTACGCGTAGCGCACTCTAGCTTCCTACTCATGATTCATTTCCTATATTCGGGTTCACGTTAAATTTATTCAGCCCGGACACAGCCTGTAATGGTTCGCATAGTATTATTCAGCAGAGTGTCAACCTTTTTTGTTTGTACGCTTCTCTCCCAGACTGGGGCGCAATACTCCGCAACTTTGAACACCAAGGCTTGGGCCGATATGCGGAGAACATTTGCTCGGCAACCCCAACTTGTTACCTCTAATTTACTAAAACTATTATTTCTGGTTTTCGGTTTATTCTTTACGTCATCAAGATGCCCTGTCCAGTTTGATCCCACGGTATTTTGGAGCATCATCACTTATTAGTTTGGTACCCTGGACTGTATCAACCTAAGTTTTCTGATAGCATCTCTGTTGTTCAAGTGGAATACTATGGATGTGGTTTTATTATGGTTAAGGGTGAGCAACCAGGATTTGAAATATTTCTGAACTATTGCTTGGTCTTCGTTTAATATACCATCTACTTTTTCAAATGATTCTGTTTGAGCTGCTAACCCCACGTCGTCAGTGTACATACATTTTCGTGACGAGGTATTTAAGGTAATTATACTTGGTATCTTTTACAAAACCCTATTTTAATATATACCCAATGTTTTTTCAATTTGAATATAATAATGAGTTATCAGAAACTATAAATCCTTTTATAACTCACTATTTTTGAGTGTAATATAATATTTTTAAAAATCTTGAAATATTATGCTTCATAGTTTTCTAACTAAATTATTTGATAGAAAAAAAAAATAGAATTTAATAATAACTACAAAGAAGGAATCAAGTAGGTAATTTCTTAAGCATGTCCTACTTGTTATTAACTATGTACAGCGCCTTAAATTATTGTTTTGCTGTCTTGTCTTATAGTATAAAAAGGAAAAGTACCTACTAAATGTTCATTGAATACTATAATTTCTAAATCCATTTAATTATACTCCTTGCTCATAAATACAAGCCTCAACAAAGTTGAAACATATTTTCTAGTAGTTCTTTAATAGTTTAAATCTGATATTTTGATTGTTGTGTAATATTTTCTCAAATATCAGTTATCAGTTCATCACTCATCAATAAAGCCTTATAAATGGCAAAAAAAAACAATGTAAATAGGTACTTATATAATATAAGTATATAGATATTTTAATTACTTTTAATAATAAATAAAAATTACAGATTACATGAATATTTAAGATATATTGTCAGCGTATTTTGATTCTACGATAATTGTTATTGATTTTATTTGAGTTGAAAATAATTATATTTTAATTGCTTGAAACATATTTACAAAATAAAATACTATTTTGGAATATCTTACTTCAACAATTAGTTATTATGAAATGTGATGTATTTTTAGAAAGAAATAATTAAAATTTTCCACTCCAGTGCCTACTCCACATTCCTGAAATTATACTGCAAATCTTTAATGTCTATCAATTTATGTTTGAATACATAATAGCTTAAAATTTTCAAAATTTGTAATTATATTTAAGGAGATACTTTTTTTATTTATAAGTTTTAATACTTATTTATGTATTTAAGATGTTTTCAATTATAAAATCAATAGGACTCTCTAAAAAAATGAATACAACATAAAATATTCTAGTAAAATGAAATGTTATTAGTTCACAAAATAATTTTATTACAATTGCTTAAAATTCTAGTCATAATAGTATTTAGATCAATTATTAAATGTATATTTATACTAGGTTTTCAGAAAAATTACTGACAATTTTAAATGATTATGTCGTTGTCGGGCTTCATTGGAGTTTTATCGTTGACATAATTTAGACTCGAGCATGCTGCAGGTTGGATCCTGTTTTAATAAAACAATTGTTTTACTTACCTTTATTTACGAAACACATTTTACCAAAATAAGTCGTTTATAATTACCTTTTGCAACGAAGTAAATTAGGTAATCCTGTAAAATCACAATATATACCATAGGACGGCAAACAAAGTGTAAAATAGTAAGGATCTGTAAAAAAAATAATATAAACTAAACATTAATTAGAAAAATTTCAGACTTTTTCCAAGTCATGTTTATCGTATGCAAGTGTTTTTAAGAATGTTATTTAAAAATATTTAATAAAATAAACATAAACATTAATTGCTCTAGCGAAAAAAAACTTGAACATTTTTACTGATAAAGAGTTAAATCTAAAAGAATTTTTTTATAACATTTTAAAAATTACAAAATTACTGAGAATATTATTGATCTTAATTTAAAATGGATAGTTTTAAAGTATGAATTAAATTTACAAGGCTCAAGTATTAAAATTAAATAAAAAGGAATATTTAGCTATAAAATAATTGGCTTTTTTTTAATTTTGATGAAATTCACCGAAATTTGAACTAAAAACACTTAATAAAACTGTTGAATGTTATAATTTTTTTTTTTTAATTTCTATAAGAACTCGTCAGGAGCCTTATATTGGTTTTTCAATTTTTTAATGTATAATCAAAAATATAATAAATTAATTATAACACTCCTAAAAACAATAAAACGCTATTCTAGTGAAGATTTCAAGACAAATAAAGTTGGTTATTAATTCACTTTTGAATTAAAGCAAACAAGAAATCGAATTCGCAAAAAACTGGTTTTTCAAAAACAATTTATGTAACACCCACTACCCTTCCAGCTTATTTAAAAATATACAGTGAATTTTTCTTCTACCAACTAGATCTAATTTTCTCTCACATAAGTCAAGTTGAAGATCAAAACATTTTTACTGCAGCCAAATATACTGTCCCCAAAAAAAATCATATGTATTTTGTTAATGGAATTAACTATAAAAATTAAAAAAATTAAGCTTATAAATATTTTTTAGTCTAAATTAAGTGAAATATGAATATTTTCATGATAAACAGTGATTTATTTTTTTAAGTTCAACTTTTAAATTTTATGTTATGTGAAGTTTAGCTTTACACATTTTTTTTAAATTAAAAATATTTTTTGATTTGAGTGTGTTTACAAAATTATGTAATGATACAATTTGGATTAAAATGCCATCAAATAGTTTACAAAATATTATGTCAGTTAATTATTATATATATATATAATGATTTATTATTTGAATAAATTAAGAAATGCATAAAAATGTATACAAATATTTTACCTGTAATTGAGTTAGTACTTCGTTTACCGTACCTTGATATGTAAAAACCTCTTTCTATCCTAGGTGGTACATTATCCACTGATCGTGTTTTTACCATAGCAGCATAACGAATATCTTAAAATGACACAAATAAATTCAAATTTTATATTTATTTTTGTATGTAGCCAACACAGTAATACAATATTATTGTTAATTTATAAAAATAAGTTAACATTTTAAAGGTAAGTTCGTAAGGATTATATACTGATAAGTATTAGTGGTAGGCACTGTTATACTAATTTAAATTTGTTAATAATTAATAAATACTACGAAACGCATACATGTAATCTTTAATAGTACAAATTTAAAAATAACTCCATTACAAACAATCGGCTTGCTTGCGGAATGCTTATAATCTATACACCGACTAGGTATCAATATAAAAAAGAACTGTTTCACTGTATTTCTAAGGTTGTATATGCACATAATATGATTGACTTTATGTTCTAGCTATATTAGAAAAAAAAAATTCAATTTTTTTAACATGTTATAACACTCAACCATTTGTAATTTCCAGAGCTAGAATTTTGATGCAATGTAATTATTTTATTATGTTTTAAAACGTAAGAATATAATGCATTCTAGGTGATTACTGATTCATTTGATAATATTTTTATTATTTGCTATTTTGGACGTATCCAACTTTTTAGGGCGTTCTTTGATGTTTTAGAGCGTTTTTCAAGTTAGCAGAACATTTTATCTAGTGAACTCAAAATATAGTACCTAATATATTTTTAAAATAAAAACCACCATATTCGTAAAGGTATATAGTTGTCAGATATAGTGTTGAATAATAGTATACCAAATACTTATAGGTGATATGCAATAGGTACACATTGAGTCGCTGACCACCGTTTGTATACAAATAGTTAAAGAGACCGTAACAATACTGTGGCTTGGCGTGGCGCGTTGTCTAGTAACGGCCACAACTAATAGCTCCCGGATGGGTGACCACCCGGGTTCGTAGTAATTAAAAATCTTGCCACACATACACGTGTTTGCTACCTACCGTAACAATCCTAACAATCATAAAAACAATCTACCGTACCAACCCTACCCCTACTACAGTTCATAACCCCTACAACAGCTAATGGCCTTAGTCGCCAAGCTTAAAATCAATGAAAAAAAAAAAACTTCTATTTTAGTGTCATTAAGTATTAAATCTACTGAAAAAACAATCATCATTACCTATACCTCAAGTTTTTATGACATAACTTTTTAAACTGTAAAAATGTATGTTGGATTGGATTTTTTTTTATTGATTAAGGTATTCTAAAAATAGAAACACAGCCCCAACAATAAACGTATTTTGAACTACCTTACCATAAAATAAAAAAAAAACTCCAACACTTCAAAAACAAATCTAATAACAATTATACATCCAATTTAAATCTTAAAATGGCTCCAACGTACCCTAACCGTATTCTTTGAAAAGCTACCAAGAAATTATTTAACCATGTAGAACCAATACCTCCGGCCTATACTTTTCCGACCGGATAATTCTTAAATTATATAGATGGCAAGGCAAAATTCAAGGTATTTGCCCACTAACACCTTTCCTCCTCTGTCTTTAAGCCTCTAAATATCCAAGTGAACCCTCAATGTACTAAAAGTGTAATCAGTATCTATACCAGATCACATTCAATATCCTTGACCGCAAATCTCCGTTCCCCAAATCAGATCATATTTTAAATTAAAGATCAGATTAGATATAGTTGAAATAATTCCTGTAGTTACGTCCTATATTGTGCATAAAACAATAAAATTAACAAATATTGCAAGTATGTTCTTAATTCGTACGCATCCTGCAGTCAGCGAATTGTTATTGCTTATCGTTTTGAGCTATTTTTTTAGTTATCTAGTCTTATCAAATAACATTTAAATGATAAAGGAATGTTATTTATAATTGTCTGAATAATTCATACTAAATATGTAATGCAATATCAATATAGAATATAGTCGAGGTTATGTATACCTATAGTATATTAGATCAAATTAATTATAACGTGGTACTATTCAATAGGTACCTAATAATAAAATAAACTTTGATAAAATTGTCTACAAATACAATACATTGAAACTGATTTCACATGCGCTATATGGCATGTAATTTAATATGAAATTAAAATTATTGTACCTATTTTTTAATTCGAATCATTATCAATTGAACACCCATAAAGAATACAACTATTAAATTCATAAAAATAACTCGTAAGTTACGTTCATATTTTAACATTAATCATAAAGATATAAGTAACTATGAACCAACTTCATACTTATACTTATATACTACCATTAATACTTAATTATACTACATCCATATATATGAATAAACATAACTCATAAGTACCTGGTATATTCTCATCGTGTCTTTTACCAAAGCGGCCACCGGTTTGAAAGAACTTATCCGATGCTGTCGTGTTATCTGGCATTATTAACAAAAATGTCGAACCAAGAATGCATAGTACCATTATTGTTACGCTCATCGTCATTTTATCAATGTCACTTAATTTTTCTAGAAAAAAATAGCACAAAAATTAATAATTTAAAATAATATTCAAGTAAAGTAGGTACACATAGTTAAGGATTTAGTAAGTACCTAAATAGATTGATAAATTTTAAAATCATCAAATATTTTTCAGCGGTTTTTATTATGTTGAATAAGGTAGGTGAATGAACATTTTAGAACCATTCATTTAATCTATACATAAACAGTTGTGCAACACGTAACAAACTTGAACTCCATGAGTTATTTACGTGGAATTCTTTAATTCTTTACATGCAAGACGCAACAGGCTACACGTTCTTTTAGAGTACGTGAGTGTTAATACAAATATTAAAAGACAAAAACACTTTAAAATATTTTGCAAAGAAAACAAAACAATATTGCTATTCCAAGCAATTTCAAACTTAGTTAAAATTATAAAATAATGTATCATATTTATAAATGTGTATCACAAACAGTATTTTAATCCAGAGCTGAGTGAAGGAGTTATTGATTTAATAATGGAGTGCACATTATCATTCCTTTTAATAATTTTCCGTTTTTCTGGCAAGTGGTAAAATTCTTAGAAATATTCATGCAAATAATTTATGAAAACAACAGTGTAAGTACCAATAGATATTATTTTGAAAATCGGAAATTAGAACAAAGTTATTAATAGTTAGGTACATTAATGGATATATTAATACATTTATAGTAAGTGATTTTAAAATTGAATGATAAATCTCTAAGTACGTTTAATGATAATACTTTAGATTAAGTAATTTTTGTTTATTAACAAAAACATTCAAAGTCAGCTGAACATAATACACCTAGTATAATGTAATGTATAGGTACTAGGTACCTATCTACACCCATCTTATTCAAGGTATAACAAATAGATCTGACCAAAAAAAATTATGCTACCTTAGTAGAACAATTTTTTTAAACATTACATGAGTATTACATAATTTAAGAAATATAATCGTGTCAGCAAATCTCCTAAAATTATATTTTGAAAAAATTTTTTAGGTTCCAAATGAATTTAATCAAAAATATATTGATATTTAAAAAAATTTTAAAAAATAAACTACTCGACTTAGATAAAATTTTTTACCATCAAAATTGTTCTATAATTTATAAAGCAGAGATTCACAAATTAGCTATTTTGAACTTACCCAAAAAAAATTTAGTTTAATTTTTATATTCAGTATTAAAAAATAAAAATAATTTGTTTTACATTATACGTGTGGCACAAGTAACTACAAATTATATATAAAATAAAAAAAAATAAAAATATTGATTAAAACAAAAGTTTTTGCATTAGTAAGTTTTTTTTGTTACACTCTGTATATAAATAAATAACAAGGTTAACCTAAGTTATAGCACAGCATTTGTTCAAAAATAAATAAATGGCTTATACTAAAATAAGTAAAAACACTAAAAACCTTATAATATAGAGTGTTAGTCATTAGTTTTAAAATGTAGTACAAGTATTATGTTGACGTTAGACATATTTTAATATCTTTAAAAACTTAAATCTGAAATATATTACTATTATACCTACACATTATACATATTATATTTTAGTCCTTATTGTTAATAAGACATAAGTTAATCACTTTGATGTTTAAAGTTTAATTAGTTTTCATTAAATAAATTGGTTTGAAATAAATATAATTATTTATCTTTAAAAAGAAAACTTTATTATAGTTTAGGTGAGGTAGGTACATTTTAGAATGTACGTGTTTTATTATAAAATTGAAATCATTATAAATATTATATATTTTATAAAGTGCAGTAAATTATAGTCAACTGATGGCAATTATAGCTATGGACTATGAATGATATACTTTGATCAGTAAATAAGTTCTTCTCTATTCACCATGGTTTGTATAGAATATTCACATAATAATGATATCGATAAATACTGACGAGATAATAATGACGACACCATGCTCCTGCCAATTATCTTGATAAGTAATCAGAAGATATTAACAAATTAAAATTATACTAGTCTAAATTTTCAATAATTGTCACAGTTTTTTTAAAATTTATTTTGAAAAGTTTAACATTTTTATAGCAAATCGTGATTGTGTGACTATTGCAGTGTATTTTTGTATGAGCAAGTTACTAGATATCTGTCAAGTGGCAATACTTATTAAATTCACTGTGACAAGTATGTATATTTTCTATACAGATTTTGTAATACAACTTATTTATTACCTACTAGAGAAATATTAGGAATAATAAAAGTTAAATAATTAATTGGTTTTCTATTAAATTCTGGTAGTGTTTTAATTTGCCTGAGTAAGGACTAAAGATTACGGTTCAAGAATGTATTAACTGTTTATTATTTTCAAATTCATTTATTTATAGCAGCCAAATCAATTACAATTAGATAATTACAATAAATTACATTAATCAAGCTTATACTTGTAACAACTGAGCTTTAAGCTCGATCTGGTAAATTAAAAGTGTTGGTTAAATATTTAAATACTTAAATAGTTTTAGTAAAACGTTCTTGTATTTAATTATTCACAAAAAAAAAATATTTAATTTGATTACAAATATTATTATCTATTATAGTATTTTAACATATTGCAAAGCTAGTGTAGTCGAATAGTTGCATTAAATATTGATATTTATTTAAGGGAATTTTATGACTAATTGTATGCTTAAAATCATTTCATACACTAATGTATTGATGAGTGATGACAATAACAAATTAGTAATTTTATATATTGGTGTAACTAGGTGGATGATTTTTTCGGGAAGGGGAAAGAGTTAAAATTGCCTAATACATTTTTTTTAAAACAGATAAAAATATGATAACTCATTATTTGTTCTCATCAATTTGGTAAAGTGTCATGACAAAAGTGATAGTTAATATTTCTATGTTAACTACTTTGCATATTATTCATATATTTTTTAAAAATATTTTAAATATAATGTCGAGAAATCGAAACGCAGTATTATGAACTTAATAATATACTATTGAAATGTATTTTTTTCTTTTGAAATTATATGTCTATGTCTAGTTTTTAATAGATATTATAGTAAAGTATAATGCAAAAATATATTATTGCATTTAATTCAACATGGTCAATAGAAAAAAATCTATTACGTACTTATTTGCTGTGTATAAAAGCTCTGAATATCATTTTTTCATTCAAGAGGATGTCGGCGTATTGTTTTCTGTTTCTGAACCACGCTCAACATACACAAAACGCATTTACGAAGAATCACTTATTTTATGTTTTTGAGTAATCTTGGAGTAAAATAGCACATCACAAAAATAATAGATCATAATATTATTTTTAAGAGTATGACATATAGATTTGTCTAAATATAATATCAAAACAATTTGAACATCGTTTCAATTTATAATTATGTATAATATATTTTAAAAGTCAGATCACAAAGTAAAAAAAATAGTAAAACATAAAATCAATATTTCAAACCCTCAAAAATATTACACTCCATCATTTATGTAATAGATAATTTTACTCTAGTATCACTCAAAAGTCATAAAAATGATTTTAGATTAAAGCATTTTATCTATGTTGCGCCTGAGTCTGAGAGAGAAAACAAATATCGAGCTGACATCCTCTTAACATAAATATTAATAATATTTGTAACTAAGACCTAAAGGTAACATTGTTTTTATTTTTATTTTTTTTCAATAAAATGTATATTTTATAAATAATTATTATCAAATGTTGTTCTAGATGCCAAGAGAAAATAAAATTGTTAATCGTTAAAATTACAAAATTGACGACCATATACATAAAAAAAATTCACCGATGGGGTTGTTGGGCAACCCACCCATGCACCACTCTAGTCTTTAAGGACCACCCAAAGCCTACGAGTGATTAAAAAAAATATGATTAGAAATACTTGATGAGTTTATAGTTAGTACATAGCTTCAAACACCGCAGTGCCAGTTCGAATGGTAAGTAGGTATCTATAATATAGAATATTTTGCATATAATATTTATAGCAAACCATTATATGCATATTACATTATTATTTATTACCTGTAATAATTCAGGTTTTGACTTTGTTCAAAAGGATACAATGATACATATATGATATATTTATACCATCTTCTTTGATTATATAGCTGAAAAATAATTCGTGAACAGCATAAATTAGGGTTATAATCATCTTTGCGTTTAAATAATTGGATTTACATTTACAAGTATACATCCCACCTAGTGAATTTCAAAGCCAATATTTTACGCACGATGCGATACATGTCTAAAAACCATAGCTACTCTACTTTGAGAAATCAAAATCTCACCTTTTTATTATATAGTGTGTAAACAATAATTTATATTATATCTATTACATTAATTATGAGTGATGATGTTCATACTACAATATTGTAGCTATCATAGCCATATGTTAATATAGTAAATTGTGAATTTGATTATGTTCAAGTCTGCAGATTCAACTGTTATATTTGACGCATCAGTTATGTATTAGTAATTTTTTATAGGCGTATATGGAGAAGTTAGTGGCCTCTCTAAAAAAAAAAATCTTACCTAATCTAAACTTAGCTTATGGTGAGGAACATCAACACATATACGTGTTGATTGAATTATCATGTTATTATCATATTGACAATATAGTAACTTATGCCATATTTATGATCAGTTTGTAGAGCTTCAACAAAAATGTTAGTTCCAAAATATAGATTTATTATAAACTATAATGATCTATCTAATTAAAGATACTAATGCATCAACAAATAATATGGTGTAACGTAACTGTTACAATAAACCAAATGCCTAATTTAATTTCTTATATCTATTGGGTTGTGACCTATTTTCTATAAAAATATACTGTTTACAAAAGGCCTACCATATAATTAGGTGTACGGTGTCTTCATAATTACAAGGATGTCATGTTTATGCTAGAATCAACTCTCAAATGACAACAATTTAATGGTTTAGAAGCCAAAATATAATTCCGTCTTAACAATTGAATAAAAATCTAAATTTCACATCGGTTTTAATGGTAAATAAAATATATATTAAATATGTACAAGTAAGAAATGGTTTCTCAAGATGAATGATTCAATGAATGTGTAAATCATACAATTTTCTTAAATTAAAAATACGAGGAAATCACTCTGCTGTTCAAAAAGTTTTGAGTCATGTAACGCATCTCGTTATGGAATGGGTTACTGTAATAGATATGTTAAATTTGAATTTAATCATCGACCGCAGAAGACAAAAA